ATTAAAAACAGATTTCCAGAATCTGAATTATATAATGCATTTAATATTTTTGATCCAAGAGAACTTCCAGATGATGACAGAGAATTAGTTTTATATGGAAATCAAGAATAGAAATTTTAGGTAATTTCTATGGAGAAATTAAATTTGTAAATGGTAATGAATTTAGTGGAATCATTGGCAAAGAAGAATTTAAACAAGAATGGAATTCAACAAAGCTTTTCCTACAGAACTATAAAAATAATAATAGGGAAATGAATTTCATTCAATTGTGGAAACACATTTTAGATACTGATGAAGATTTTCCTTTTAATAATCCAAATATATTATTATTAGTTGTTAGAACAGCTCTTCTTATACCTCTTTCTAATGCTCATATAAATTTGTTATAATAATAACGAAATTTTTTATTTAACAAAAAAAAATAGGGATAAGATTTTGTTCAGTATAGCAAGAATCCATTATAACAAGGTTTGACTGTATAGCATATAAGAATGTTATTGACTCAAAATCAAGATATTGCAGTTAGGGCTGTTTCTATTTTCTGTGCCCCATATTTATATTTAACCACAAAAATGGCATCACTATATTGCTTAATCCTATAATTTGGAAGTTATGACCAGTTAGTAAAGCTCCCTTAGTTTTCTTTTCCTTTGTATTTGAATTTTCAATGAAAGGATCCTATTTATGTAATCCCAGACTAATTAATTCGTGAATGAACGGATCGCCAAATCCGAAATTAAATTTGATAATGTTACCGGAATTAGATTTTGACGCAGATCTTTTGGTCGAATCTCTTAATTCCGGGACAATTTAAATTTTATTTTTATTTCTATTTTTATTTTTATTATTATTTTATTTAATCTATTATTTATTTTTATTTTTATTATTTTTATTTTTATTATTTTATTTTTATTTATCAATAACGTGTATAATTATTTATTATCATCTGAATTCGTGTTACGTCTTGCGTATTATTATTATTATTAATCGATCCGTAACACATTCATATTTATTTAACTTTATTTAGTAGAGATTAATGACGATTCTCCCGGAACGGGCGGATTCGCTCAAAACGGGCGGATTCACCTAGGTACAAAGTGAGCGAATTCGCGCAATTCGGGATAATATATAAAGAACATGTATATAAAGAACTTGATTTCGACTTAATGTAAAATCAACTTTCTTACAAGTTAATTATTTTCGATTAAATAAAACTAAGTAAATAAAATAGAAATATTTTATTTAAAACTTTTATCTTCTTTAACCAAAATTATTCGCTAATAACAAAATCAATTCGTTGATCCCCTATTCATTCTGATCCACACAAAACAAAAATAATTATTATCACCAATTAAAATACACTCTCCCGAATTTAATCGGTGACAATAGTAATAATAATAATGAAATAATAATAATAATGATAATGATAACGAAATAGCAATAATAATTAAATAATAAAAAAATAAGGTTTTCACTGATCACCAAATAATTTTTCCATAACCATAAATAACGTAATTTATTATTATTTTTATTTTACATAAACACTTGCATCAATTATTGATTTTTTTTATGTCAAAATTGTTATTTTGCCATTTATTTTTATTCATTTATTAGTATCTATACTAGTTTCAAAAATAATTTTGAACTTTTAAAGACAATTATAACATGATGTTGACCCGGATATCCTATCCGTTTAAATTATAGTAATCCGGATATCCTATTCATTGTATTATTAATATTAATATTATTGTGATAGAAAAACGGGTTTATCGAAAGACCGTCCAATCATATGATGGCATGTGACATAGCCTTTTTCGTTTTCGTTTTTCTTTTTTTTTTGTTAATATTAATATTAATATTCGTATTTTTAATTAGTATTTTGTCATCATTATTGTCTATTTATTTGTTAATTAGTTAGTGGGACAAAAATAATTTAATTTTGACCCGAGTAAAAATATATCTTTCTTGTTTAAGAACAAAAATAAATCAAAGAATTAAATAAGTAAAATAATTTAATTGGTATTAGATCAACCAAATATTATTATTATTATATATACTAATACTAGAAATCCATTTCTCACCTTACAGATATTCGGATATCCGTTTCTCGCTATACGGATATCCGGATATCCGTTTATCAAAATCTCTCATCCGTATATCCTATCCGTTCATCAAATCTCTATCCGGATCCAAGCTCTACCGGTGGGTAAACCTGCGGGTCACCCGGGTGAAGTTTTTTTAGACGGGTCCAATCTCTAGTAATGCGATTATAATTATCAGTTTTATAATATCCCACTTGTTATCTTAAGTGATATATAGAATTACCTCATATAAAAATAGTTAATACGAAACTCATTTACATCAGATCTACTATGGAACCCAAGAATTATAGCACCATTAGAAGTATTTTGAAGAAATAGCAGGGTGAAAAAATTGCTCCTTATATTTTCAAAATAAATGATACTCAGACACTGGAAGCTTATCTAAGTAAAGAAAGGATTACCTATGAAATTTACCAAGAAAAAAAAAAAAATAATAAGTGATAATAATTTAATTTTATAATATCTTTTTTCTTTAAATTTTAATTCTGATACAATCATTTTGTGAATCACGTTTTGTAACTGGCATTATCACAGGTTGATGAGAGAATGATGAGACTAAATTGCAAATTCTATAATTATCAGGTGATAAACCTTGATAAAATTCCATTTTTATCTGGCTGATCCAATCCTTTAAAGAGTGCATCAGGTAAATTATTACCATCAAGTTTTTCTATGTAACGTGAGAATGTCTTTGTCAAGAACTTGGCTTAATATGCTGAACTTATTTTGAAAATTTTAGAATCATCTGATTAACAATGGTCTTCTACAGGAAAACGATTTATAATGTTTTGAATCTGAATATATGGTGATTGATAAAAGTGGTGCAATAGTAAAGATTTTTTCTAGAAAAATTATACTGAAGTTCATGGCTTATCAAGCCCAGGCAGAAGTGCCAATAGAATAACCCAATCAGTTACATTCTTACCAGCTGAAATGAGTTATAAACCAGTACACAGGGATTTTCTAATGGTCTAGAAGAAGATAACAAATTGAAATCCTTTGAAGTATTATACCTTCAGAAAGTTATGATACCGATTGACATCAGAAATTCAAATTATGAGTCCAGGGGATTGACTTGTGTGATACTTGTCAACGTTTTTGAAACGATTTACACTTCAATGGGAAGAGGCTAGTGATTTACTCAAAAAGTTCAAAGAATATTTGTTCAAGGCCAAATTAGAAAAAAATTATAATAAAATACAAATTAGTTGAACAAAGAAAACTAGTTATTCTCAAAATATTGCAGTATTGATATGTACTAGTTATGTTTAGTCAAGAATAAAATTTGAAAATTTTTTAAAAATTGGCCACATGTGTTCGTGGAGTTACCACTAATATTACATATATGAAATTGGAAATCTATATATAATTATTCCTTTTGATTGTCTAATTTAATTTTCACATGTACACGACAGAACATTGTGATTTCTTGATAAATTTCTTACAAATTATAATAATTACACTAAACAAAAATGACATATAAGTTTTATCTATTATTTTGTGAACCTGGTGGTAAAAAACATCTTTCACCTTGTGATTCATTATTATTCCCCCACCATTCTGGAAACGGCACCTATTATTATTATTATTATTGCCATGAAAAAGACATTGAAAAAAATTTTTTAAATTTTGTCAATTAGTTAGCATGATGTGATCCAAGTTGGACTAATGATATTGGCGACTGACTGGATACTTACATTAAGCACACCACTTAATAAAAAGAAAATCACCATTGTAACAATTTGTGATCCACTATCCAATGAAGCTGATAATACGTAATTATATCTATTTTCGAAATTGAAAAGTATTAATAAATAAAGGTTGTGTAAAAACTTGATATTTTTATTATAATTACATTGTTACTTACTTTGCCCACCACTAAGAAAAAATTTCATATAAACAAATAAAATAAAGTTGATTAATACCATTTACAAAAAAAAAATTTTTACCAAATACGTTAACACCTATCCTCCTCACAAATTCACGCATATATCAATCAAACTATTATTTATTTACCTTATGATGATACCTATAAGCCCAAAATTGACTCAAGAAACTAGCTATAAGCCCCATAGTTATGAAATTGGTATATGTACCAGGTATTGCACTCATACCATGAGAAATCAAAGGTAAAGTGATTAGATGAAATTTTGCATTTGGAAATTTTTTATGTAGAAAGTAGATTGGAAATGGTAATAGAAATCCTATTGGGAAACCCCATAACAGAAAATGATACATTGAGTCCTAAAAAGATCAAATGAAAAAAAAACCGATTAATTAAATTTTTAAAAAAAGGAAAGTCCTGTTACAACAATTACTGATTGATCGATTGGATAATTACATTTCCAAAAGTTCTAGCAGGTCCAACTAACCCCCACACAATCGAAGCAGTATTAAAAACTTGAGATCGATAACCGGTCCATTGACCAGTCGGATCACGAGAAGTGCCATCCAAAAACATACGTTTTGCATCCAAAATAAGCTGTAGTGTCCAATAATTTATAAATACTCCTACCAAAGTCCCCCAAATTTGTGCTACGAACAATGCTTTTGGTGGTATTTTCATATATAATCCTATATATATATATATATATATAATACAATTGCTTTTATTTTCTTTTTGTAATTATGACGATAATGATGATTATTATTGCTATTACTATTTACCCAGTTTTAAATCTGAAACAAATGATAAAGATTGATGCATGGCCATATAACTATATGACTTGAAATATACATTGGCAATTGGTCTTCCCGGAAATATGTACCTAATAATGATGACGTAATGAATTAATATAAATATAAATGTATATGTAATTTTATAATTTAAAATTGCCCACCCGCAAATCATTTCAGATATAACATTAAGACCAACTTGATTATTTGATATTGCCTGAATTACTCCTAAAAAAATAACAAAACAACAATAACATTACTACTTGTTAAAAAACAAATAATTATTATTCTTATCAACAACTTTATAATAACAATAATAATAATTATTATTAAAGCTACCTATTGGTAGTACTATAACACAAGCAAGGGCTACAGCTAATAACAGTCCCCACCACGGCAAATCTGATCCAGACACGTAACAAAGCGTGATTGCAATTGACAACATCGTTACAAATATAGAAGCATACCATAAATTTGGTATATCTAAAAATTTTATAAATTTAAAAATTAAACCAATTTTCGCGCCATCTTTATCATTTATTTTTATAAATATATATCCCTTATCCTTCCAGTCAATCAATATCAAATACTAACCTTCATACCTCTTCAACATTCTATAATGAATATCATCACCCTCATGCCTACTAGCCCTGAACCTACTCCAAATCTCATTTCCATAAAATAACATAACATGACTAATAGCTGATGAGAAACCTATAAAAGAATAGAGATATCCAAAGGCAAATGTGAGACTCAAAAACACAGGTCCATAAGAGTTATAAGCCTCTTCATTTAAAGAATTATCTTCTTGATTTAATATTGCTGTTTGATTATATCTTGTATATTTTTTTTTTCCATGTAAAAAATAATTTAATATATAATTTAATGTTGAATTAAATAATTAAATCATTGTTGAATATGTGTGTATGTATCATGATAAATTTTTATAATTATATATATTATTAACCTTTCCCCATTTTTATTTAAAGAGTATGTTGCCAATAATGGAAATCTTCGTGCATCCCTAAATAATTATTGAATTATATAATATTTATTTTTAATGCTTTCAGCAAAACCAAAAAAAGGTAAAGTAAATTTTTTCGATATCCTTACAATACATTATAATACCACAATAATGGAGTAATGACCCACGCACTTAATAATACACCAGCAAAATAATTAATCTGTGCCCACCTGAACAACAAAAAACAGATTAATTGAATACGTAAATATATTAGAATTACAAAAATCATAAAGCCCACACGCATGTGTGTGCGTGTGAACACTGAATACACACCAGGGAGTGTATAAAGGACCCGATTGTCCAATAGAATTCCAATCTAACGAAAAAGTCAAAAAGCCTAATCCTCGATACCCACTACCAAATCTGACTATATTTTCATTCATCGGTACGATTAAGCACAACACAGATATACTGGTAAGCAATGTGAACATGTACTGTGGAAGAAATTGCCAAATGAATACTAGGGTGAAAGCTATATAAAAGAATCTTAATTTGTCTCTTGTGTCCTTGGCGTTTCCATGTAATGTTGTGAATAGACTGGCAAATACCAAATTTGATGGCCACTATATATATAAAGTGTGCGAATTGATTGATTAATTATGATTATTAATTGTGTAATGATGATTATAAATTATATTAATTAATTAATTTGAGTAGTATGGTGGTAATCAGTACTATTGTTTAATTACTATTCCGCAAATATTAAATACAACATACCAACATATTAGCTGGACGAACAAGAACTATAAAAAGGAAGTAAAAAATTTTTGTTAGAGAATGGATCCAATTAGTAGTAAAATGTAAGTTTTATTTCCCTATCAATCCATTTCCATGCACAAATCAATCCACCTACATTTTCTTAAAAATCCTGCTAACCCATAACCAATCATCTGAGTGCTCAATAATAGCGAGATTCCCATTAAAAAATTAGCATTTTCACCATAAAATAATTGTTGTATAGCAATAATATCCTTACAAATCGGAAGAAAAAATAGTCATGATGGTGATTTCAAAATTAATTAAATGATTGATTGATTGATTGATTGATTTAAATAAAACTAACTGTTCCATATGCTGTACCACCTCCTGCAGCAGAAGCTACTGCTATACAAACATGTTCCTTTATATTGAATGGACCTATTATTTCAAGTACGTAAATGTAATGTTCTTGGTAGAAAAATAATAATCAACTCTCATAATCATAACGTACATACCAGGATTGAGCGAAAATTTCCATTTAAATATTTGGTATTGTTTTGTTGGTAAAACATCAGCCATCCATTTACCAAAAACATGAGATACCAACAATACGAAGAATACGGAGTAAGTACCACCGTTTGAACGAAAGTAGTAAAACTGGGATATCGCTGCACCAAGAATCGTGAAAAACTATTATTATCATTATAATTTGATTAATTGAGATTTTAACAAATTTACTCTCGAAGAAAGTCGATCGATCAATCAATTACCGTACTAAGAGCCCAAAAACGAAACGTTATTGGTTGTAGTGTTGGATCATCTTTTGTACTAACGGCCTGTATATATATTTCACAACCAAATAAAATAAATGAAAATCAAAAATCTAAAAATCTAAAATCTAAAATCTAAATCAAAATAACAATTACCGCAGCAACCATAGGAATTGGAGAGTTTTCGAGTGGATCGAGATCGCTTATGTCTGAACGATAATTTTTTTCTTCCAAAAGAAGTTCATTATCATCAAAACCAATTACAGTATCATCTTCACCAATACTAAATCTATGATAATTACTATGATTTCTTATAATACCATTTAATATATCCTCTTCTACATATGCAGCTTCTTCAACTCTATCACTAGTTTTCTTTATTAATGATGATATTAATATATTTGGCGGTGATTCGACATCTTCTGTTGTAGTTATCGGTGAAACTTTTGAATATTTTTTCATAATATAATATAATTATATAAAAAAAAAGGCAATGTAAAAAAAAAGAAAAAAGAGAATATTTACAATATTTATCTAACACACTATTACTACTATGTTAAATGTCTATTTATGTATTCTAACTACTCTTAAAATTACTATTGCTACAACAAATATTTTTATTTCTTTCTTGTTATAGTTTAATAACTTTGTCAAATTGTTCATTGCCACAATTTTTTGCGAAGCCTCTCTATAAAAAGAACATCTCTTCTGATCACATGATCTAAAACTTGATAAAAATAATTGGGACTGATTGATCGGTTGATTGATCAATTCATCCATCATTCTTAACGCATTGAAAAAGGATTGATAATATTTTAATAAATTTTTACATGATAAATCAACATAATAATAAAGTCGTGTATTTATGCTCTGATGATCACGAAAATTATTTTGTCCCAAAAATCTTTTTAATTGATGAAACCAATAAACACGCACATACATAGAACAAGAGAGAGAGAGAACATTTCACAAAATACTATTGCGAAATATTCAATATATATATGTGTAGATAAAAATTTGAAGTGCTAGTTTTTGTAAAATATATTTTTTTGAAATATAAAATATAAAAAATCGTGTTAATTAATAATAATTTGTACTACTACTAAAATTCTCATCATCATTATAATTAAATATATTGCAATGATGATCATTATGGATCAAAAATTCATATCAATTTTCAATCTGACAAGTTCACCTTTTTTTTTTATAGAACGAGGAGAAATATATTTCTTGTGGGAGGTATACTAAATTATAAATGGTATTACTATTATTAATTAATAAATAAAAAATAATAATAAATGTGCACAAATAAAGACTTACCTCAGAATCTTTATCAGTTTGAAGGATGCATCTTGTGCACATCAAAGTTCCCCTATCAATATTCAAACATGCTTCTAATCTTTTTGGCAATCCAATAAATTTAGTTGTTGTTTTTTTAGGATGACCTTTATAAATCTTACCAACAACTTTGGCATATTCGTCGTGTTTAGGATGTCCACATGTTGGTAATGTTGAATCTCCTTTACGACGTGAATTATTATTACCATTGTTATTATCATCAGATTCAATGGATGAATATGGTCTTTTCTTCTTGTTGTTATTACTATAATTGCTACTAATTAATTTTTTAGATGATTTTTTATTATTGTTAGTGCTGGTGGTGCTATCAGTAGCATTTTTTTCAGTGCTATTGCTATTGTTGTCTTCTTCATTTATTGCAAGAGCATCAACATTTTTTGTAATCGTGGCTTGAGAAGAAAAAATAGACATTTTATCATCATTGAATAGACTGTCCTGACTATTATTACTAACAACACTAAAAGTTTTAAAATCACTTTCATCCAAAGCAGCAGAAGAAGAAGTCTGACTATCAATCATTGAAAACAGTATTCTGTTATTATTATCATTATTATTATTGTTATTGAAAATTTGACCAGATGATTGGATTGCCCCTTCTAAATATTCTGCCTTATTATTATATTGAGGGCAAGAAGATGACAAATCATCGTTTTTAAGAGAGTTATATATGGTAAAAGGACGAGAAGCTGGTGTATCATTATATTTATGTTTATAATTAGAATTAGAACTCCCAATGAAAATATCATCATCTGCTGATTGTTGTTGATGATGTCGTTGATTTTGTATTTGTTCCGATTTTGCATCATTTCCGTCATCTCTGTTATCATTGTTATCGTTATTGTCATAATTATTTATCGGTGCATCATTTGCAGTTGGCTCATAATGTGTGGGACTGTTTATTGGTGTTAAATCATCATCTTTATTTTTGTTATTATTATCGTTATAAATATTTATTGGTATTACATCATTTGTGGTTGATTCGTACAGTTCATCTATGGGACTGTTTATAGGCGTCGCATCATTATCTTCGTTAATATCAGGCATATTTTTAATTGATGAAATCACTATTTACCATATGGGGTATGCTGCAGATAAAGTGAACAAAGAAATTTCAGGGATCAAAACTGCAGTCAGGGGATATCATCATATATAGATAGAAGTATATACTAAATACGATAATGATCGGCTTAAAGAAAAAAGAATAAGGAGCTTTATTACTTCCAAATTACGGAATTAAGCAACACGAGAATGCCATTTAACATATAGCAATAAAACCAGCCAGACAAATTAACATTATATAATCATTAATAATGTTTCCGTTCATTGATCTCCTTCATTATCCGAAATACGCCAGATGACTTTTGGTAATGGACGGAAGTTTAAATGGTCATAAATATCTCGAATGGTCATAACATTTCATATTAGTATAGAAAATCGCTTTTATTTTTGATCAGAAACATCGAAATTGTACTACCAAATATCACGCTTAAGCATTTTGTTAACTTTTTTTTCCAAATTATTGATAAACCAAATTAAGTAATTCGTGCATGTGAAAACTTGTAAATTTAGATAAAAACATATTCATTGATAGGCAACTAACTGTCCGAGTTACTATCAATAAAAAAATTTATAAATTTGGGTCCAGAACTGGCTGTGAAAAGATCTTGGTTGATTCTGTTCTTCCTATAGTCATTATTAGCTCTCGATTTATCCGGAACAATCAGTGGTACAGAATATAATAATGGTATATTTTCCGTAAAAACCGTGTGTATTCCGTGCGTGTTTCGTATTAGTATGCATTCCGTACCTACTCCGTATCCATCCCGCACAAATTCTGTACATTTAACAGGAAGATGCCGTACATTTACGATGCATTTTTCCGTACCTATTCCGTAAAACAATATGGTTTTCCCGTATGTTATTTTTTATAGGGAATTACGGCACTCACTATTAAAAACATAAGTGTGTAACCGCTTTATGACAGTGTCAAAATACTTTGGGCTGAATGTATAAATATAATAAATGACAAACATTACATGTAAAAATATATATTAAATTCTCTTAATCCACAGGTACCAAAGAATATCTATTTTCTTTACTTGGTTAAAGGCAATAAAAAAATTATTTGTATATTCTTTGGTATATGTTTTATCTGCAAATTAAAAAAATCATGTATTGAAACAAAAGTATAGCACAACTTTTCATGCAAAAGCATTCGATTAGTCATTTTTATGTCAAACTTTTATGACTCTCATTTATTCGTGGATCGTCAATTATTGGCGATTTTTCCCGTTTATGGATGATCTTAAATAATCACGAGACCAGTCTTTCCCTTTGTGAAAATCACGTAATCGCGCAAGAAATTTTTTCTCAAAATTTGTTGCTGAGGAAATTGGTGATTTTGATGGAACTAATTACAGCACTCACTATTAAAAACATAAGTGTAACACCCCTTTATGACATGTGTAACCCCTTTATGACAGTATCAAAATACTTTGGGCTGCATGTATAGTACAGGGATTAGGCAATTTTTTTAAAGTTACATTTATTTGTTATAAATAAAAAATTTATGCAAACATGTCCAAATCATATATAATACTACAATACAATTTCTTAAATAGGAATAAACACACTGACTGGTCTTGGGGAAATTCTTGATCCTATATAGTAAAAAAAATGAATGAAGGTATTTTTTTCTTACACACAAAATAACTATTTTAAAAATATGTAGTATTTTTACATCATAATTTAATATTTTGCTTAATAAAATAATATTTAGCTAAATTCTATAAAGGTAAATAAATAATTTGCAATACAAAATAAACATCATCTAATTAAATAATTTATTTTTTTTATTTCATAGAGTGTAAGTATTATATTATAATTTAATTTTTACAACACAAAATAAACATCATCTAATTAATTAATTTGTTTTTTTATTTCTTTATAATGACGGGTAAGTATTATATTATAATTTAATTTTTACAATGCAAAATAAACATTATCTAATTAAATAATTTGTTTTTTTATTTCATAGAGAGTAAGTATTATATTATAAATAAACTTTATTAACATCATCTAATAAATAAACTTATTTTTTATTTCTTTATAATAACTAGATGGTAAATATTATATTGTATTATAAATCAACTTTTATAATTTTTATATCTAATTAATAAGTTTATTTTTATTTATTTATAATAACCAGCTGGCAAGTGTTATATTATAAATTAACATAAAATTAAATTTTATTAAAACATCATCTAATAAATCTTTTTTATAATAACCAGGGAGTAAGTATCATATTATATAATTAGCTTTTACAAAATAATTTTTATTAAAACATCAATTAACTAATAAATTTATTTTTCTTTATAATAACATAATAACCAGCATGTAAGTAAATTTTACAACACAAAATAAATCTCTATAACATCATCTAATTAAATATTCTTTATTTCTTCATAATAACCAGCTGGTAAATATTATATTATAAAGTAACTTTTACAATACATTATCTAATTAAATAATTTTTTTTTTTGCATTTATAATAACAATTGAAGGTAAAATACAGTCACTGGAAAAAAGTATTGCTTCACCTGATGATCAGCAAAAATAATTGAATAACTCCCGTGATATAAAAAGTCATTATTTTACTAATTAAGTCGATGTTGTGTAATAACAAAAAAATCTTTTTCATGATGAATCTATAACATGTTCAAGTTTCACAACATTCAATTAATTATTGGTAATTTTATAATCTTTAAAAGACAAAAAAAAAATTTCTGGAATTTTCAAAAAAACTTTAGATTAGAGCCAACTTTAGATGTCATGTTTTAACACATTTTGAGATCTTAGTAAATGTTGTTTCTTTTGTCTTCAAATATATACTTACAAAACCTCACAATTAATTGTCAAATATTGGTCAAGAATCGAACTGAAACGTAAAAATAATTTTTAAGAAGTTTACTTACTATTTGCAAATATTTTACATATTGACTTGTTATAAAATATACACTAAAAGAATCAAAAAAAGATAGAAAATTTGGTTATTTATTAGTATTTTGTCGGGTTTCCTTTAGAATTAGAGAATTGCTATTTCTCACCAGTGGTGATTGTCACCACCTAAGGAATTAAATTTGCGTGGGGCGGAGTTAGGGTTGGGGTTTAATCATAAATTGTATAATTCCTTAGGTGGTGACAATCACCACCAGTGAGAAATAGCAATTCCCTTATTATTATATATTTATCTATATCTAAGGAAGTTATCTTTACTGCCAAAACAGGAACTCCGCAGTTTTTGATCAACTATTGCCGACCTTAATGGAAGCTGAACAACATTAGATGACCCATGTGTAAATAAGATGAAAATATCCTGATCACATGCTGCTTTTTCATACTCTACATAGCATAGATAAAAATCCTATCATTGGCTGTTATTGTATCACAAAAATTAAGTGAGATCAACCAATGAAAAATTGCATGTATTATTAATTTTTATTATATTATTTTTCTATAGGACTTATTAGATCAGTAAGAGAACAATATGATTCAAATTCTATAGCTTATTTTCACTAAAATCTAAATATATTGATATACTTAACAATCATGCAAATAGAATTAATATAATATTAGAATATTTACCCATAAGCATTTATATAATTTCTGATTTAGCTCTTCATAAACAGGGACTGCATCAACATTATTTGATTCTTGATTACCACATACTATGCAAGGACCAAAGATTTCTTTTTGTACTTTTGTTCATTTTTATTAATAATGAGACTTATTTTGATTTTTGATGCACATTTGAGTATGTAGATTATCAACAAATTTGGGTGTTATGACTGAAATAAATGAAATTTATGGTAAACTTTTGTACTAATAAAAGTCAAAACTCAAACTTGATCTTAAGGTAAAAATAAAAATAGGATTATTTTGCAAAGTTTGAAATGGTGTTGGTTAGTGTGTGCAGCACTACTTTTCTAAGTGGTACTTTTTCGATTTTACAGTACTCTTTACATATAAATTGTAGATTTTTTTCTTGAAATGTTTATTAAATGTGTGTAATGCAGATCTATCCATAAAAGGATTTTTAACTATGCTATGTTGCTTAAAGTTCTGAATTGATTTTTTCCTTTCAGATCAGAACTTGTGATACCAGATTTCTCTCCTCTAAACATATGAAAAGGCAAAAGACAAAGTAAATAAGTGAATAAGCATACAGGTTCCACATATTTCTGCTGTAATTCATCCATACCTGATTAAGGTTCCTAGTCCAAACTATTTTTGAAAGGGAGTAGCTTTAAAAATAGTTTGGTCTTCTTGATATTTTTTATAAAAATGTACTATACAATCAACCTATTTTAATTTAAATAATTTAAAAATAGTTTCGCCCATTTTCAGTTATTAATAAAAAATAGTTTAGGCCTATAAATTCAGCAATTTCAGCTACTAAGAGAGAAGTAGTTTCAACCAGAAACCTCATACCTGACCACAAAAAACATATCAATGCATTTCCACACATTTACATGATACCAGGATTCTGGAAGATCTAATGTAATCTGATTCTAAAAGTACAATCTGTAAAATTATAATATAATAAAATGTTAGAAGAAGCTGAACCAGCATTAAAAGGTTTTTTTAATCAACTTTATGCTGGAACAAATCCAAAAG